GGGGGGGATACAATACACATCCTCATAGATCCTTTTAAATTAATAGGGAACAAGTTTCCTTATTTATTAATTTTTATGAATACTTCATTTTAATTGTAAAAAATAAATCTGATAATGAAGAAAATCATGTAAAATCCCATGTAGTAGAGAGATAGCTATTGCTGATATTTTCAATATGCACATCCACACATTTTGTAAATCCATGTGCATATTTATTAAGCACATTTAAAATATGGGAGCAATTTATAAAAGTAAAACATAAAGTTCTATATTTTAGACTTATAAACACAGGGAACTAAATATCACTTTAATAACTAAGGTAATTTTAGCATAAAAATTCCTGTTTATAAGTCTTAATTTGTGATTGCTTTATTACTTTTTAAAACAATATTTTTGCATATTTTAAAAACTCTTTATAAAATGGCCACAAGGTATTTATTTGCAGTTATGTATTTGACAGACCTCCAGAAAAACACTCTTTTACAGAATAATATGAAAAAATATTTATTAGAATGCCACCAAAGAGTTAATGGTGAAATATAAATTGTTGGGGGTGTGAGAAAGCTACTTTAGCTCCATGTACACATCTCTAGATTTATTAAATTTATCCTAGCCTGTAAGAATTAAAATGCAGTGGGTATTGTGATATAAAATGGCAAATTTTTGTTTGTGGGAGTAAATTTACTCCCTCAGTTAAGCTTATGGAATCTGAAAGAGACTGACTGAGAGGCCCACATTTTCTGCACAAACCTTTGTGGGGTGTCCTGAATACACTTCTTCTGATAAAATTACATACTTTACTACTACCAGTGTACATAAAGGGTCAAGAAAAACAAAATATTACATAGCCATGTTTTTCTCATAATGTTCTCAATGAAATAGATTCATTGAAAAATGGAAACGGTAATTTAAACCCTGGTTATTTTAAACAAGTGGTTGAAAAATATTAAATAGCTAAAGTTTTATTTAGCTAATTCCTTCCTCACAATGAATATGAGAGGAAGTAACAGAGGAACTTCACTGGAAAGGTTTATAAGACCAGGAGACTTAAAGAGGGGTGGGTAGTATTACAGCTTTGTGTATATTATTTTTAATACTATTTTTCCTCATATGATTGTCCTGGGCCAGATTTGAATTCATGGCTGTCTGAGGAGGAGTAGGCCAATAGTCAAGGCATAGTGTCTACACCATTACATTTAACAGCATGTATTCGTAACAATACTTGAGGGTGGGTCATAATTGTACCCCTGTAGCCAAATTAGAGCTAACTCTGAATATAGCTCCCTTAGTAAGTGGCAGGGAGAGTTCTGTGATACTTTATCTGTCAAATCTGATGACAACTGACTGGAGGTGGAGCAGAGGAGAAGATTTATCAAACTTGCTGTGACAGCCTGTCCTTTGGGTGAAGACTATATCTGAGATGGCAGATCAAGCTCATTCATTATCAACATGAAGCTTACAAAGTCACTGAAACTGGACATCTGGCCAGTAGGTGGGGAAAAGGGGTGGTGGATTACATACGGAATATTTGTATAAGCAGATCTAGAAACTGTGCACGTCACTTCCACACCCATTCTGTTAGCTATAGCATAAGCTATAGTCACACCTTATGCTGTAGCAATATGGCAGAAAAATGTAGTCTACTGTGTTTCCAGGGATAGCAACCAAAATGTTTCACAAAAATAGCAATTTCTGCCAGATAGTATGAGTAAACACCTTAGAATTTAGTTTCAATGGAGAGTTAAAAATTGAACAGTCAGGGTTCACAGTAAGCAAGTCTAAAAACAAAGTGATAGGTCGGTATGGCCGGAGAATGAATCATGTAGAGACAAGTAGTGTTAGAAGCTTCAGTCTTTCTGCCCCGTTCATCCTTCCTCTTAATTGGATTCACTGAGTCCTTCTTCCTTTACACCTTTGAGAGGAGTGCAACTTTTTTAATTGAGTCACGGAAAGCTTGCTTCACTTGCTTGTTTCTCAGTGTGTAAATAAAGGGATTTAACATCGGTGAAATGGAAGTAATAAGGAGTGAGATCCCTTTATTCATAGCCACCTCATCCTTGGCTGAAGGTTTGACATAAATGAAGATGCAGCTGCCATAAGTAATGGAAACCACAATCATGTGGGAAGAACACGTGGAAAAGGCTTTTTTCCTTTGCTGGGCAGAGGGAAACCTTAGAATAGTCCTGATGATAAAAATGTAGGAAAGAGCCACACACATGAGGGTGATGATGAATGTCAACACGGCACATGCTATAATCATCTGTTCTATCAACCATGTGTCTGAGCAAGAGATCTTCAGCATAGGAGATGCATCGCAGCAAAAATGATCAATGACGTTCGAATCACAGAATTCCAGGCCCAAGCCCAGACTGATGGGTGGGAGAATGACGATCAGCGCTGCTACCCAGCAGAAGATGATGAAGCTCTTGCAGACCCTGCTGTTCATGATGGTGGCGTAGTGCAGGGGTTTGCAGATGGCCACGTAGCGGTCATAGGACATAACCGCCAGCAGAAAAAATTCTGTTACTGCGAAGAGATCTATAAACAAGAGTTGACTAACACAAGCGTTATAGGTAATGGACTTGTCCCCAGATAATATGCTATATAAGAATCTGGGAACACAAGCAGTTGTGAAAGAAATTTCTAAGAAGGAGAAATTTTGAAGGAAAAGATACATAGGTGTTTTAAGGTGGGAATCCATCAGAGTGAGGGCGATGATGGTTAGGTTTCCAGATATACTCAACATGTAGGAAAGAAATAGAAAGATAAAAAGCAGAGTTTTCAGTGGAGTGTCATCGGTCAGTCCCAGCAAGATGAAGGTCGTTAGTGCAGTTTGGTTTTTCATCCTTGATTATTGCCTTTCCCCCATTCTGCTTGAAACAATAAGGAAGACTGGGCATCTTCTAACCTCAAGAGTAGTAAATATGAGCGTGAGCCCTATACGATTGGTCAGTGGGGAAGCAAGCACATAACACATGCCAATGTTTGATCACCTCTTTGCGTCACACGAACTGTTCATATTTATATCACTTATTCACACTCTTGTTTCTAATTACAATTTAGTTGTAATTGGTGTCAGCTCAACATATTACCTTAAACACATCATTGAAAAAATAAGTCCTAAAAGTTGCTTTTGGATCTACTATTTTTTCTTCCCTCTGCTTCCTAACTCCAGACATGGTTCTAGCAGAAAAGTCCCTTAAAAAAACTAACAATAGTCTTTGTTAAGAAAATCCTTGCATTAAAGTTTACACGTGTATTAGCTATTAAACTGACAATGAGTACTTATCACATAGTTTATTCTCTTTCAGCTTATCCGGTCCAGCTTGTCTGAGGTGTGTTTAAAACATTTTTACTGGATACATGTTCTTAAAGATTCGTTTAAATGTATTACAGTCCAAACTTTTTGAGGTTTCCTCACAGAAAATTTATTTCAAATATATGTATTTTATATAATTAATATTATCCTTGGGCATATTTTACTTTTACTGTTGGAATATTTCTGTCATACATTTTTATGCTTTTTAGGATACCCTAGTGCTACAAAAAATTTTTTCCTCAGCTTACAAGCAAAAATCTGGAGTTGTATACTCTGGTTAATTAATTTCCTTTTAAATTGCTTTGACAGTGAAAACCCTAATGCTCTTTAACTAGCTGCTATAGTTTCATAATCTCTAGATCTTGAGAGCTCTTTTCCATCAAAGGGTTCTAGTTAAGACCAAATTTTTGATATTAAATTTTTTTCTTATTTATGTTTTCCTATTATCTCTTTTAAAACACATTGACAATGACATATTTCCATTCCTTGTATGTATTGTATATATTTAATTCAAAATTTATGACAGATAAGTAAGGGAACATTTGGAGTATGTTTATAGAGCTGAAGAGCAGTATGCTGACTTTATAAAGTTTTTGGTCACTCTTGTTTCAGCTCAAAAAACACTCTACCACCCATTATAAATGACATTTAGCAATATCAGGTTTAACAACGTTTAGCAATTTCTCAAATATACTTCCACATTCTCACTTAAATTTCATCTACTTGATAATTGTCTTCTCTGTCTTATTAACCACTTATACATCAACAAATGTGGTTTTGGCATCATTTAAACTACTCTAGCCAAGGTCATCACTATCCTCCCTCTTGTTTCAATCATTAAACAAAATTCAGACTTCATTTAACTCAAGTTCTCTTTTGCATATAAACTCTGAACGTATGGAAGTCTTTACAGCTTAATTTCTACCATCTCACATTATCCTGAATTTCTTCCTATCACTGTCTATTTTTTCCATTCTCCTTCATAGCTCCTTTTCCTTTTCTAATCCCTAGGGTTGTTGGTGCACCTGAAATCTCTTTTCTAGGCAGTAGCCTCTTTCACTCTGCTCTCTCTTTAGAAGATTCTATTAAATAAGGTGACTTCAAATAGGCTGATGATTCCTAAATTTATATCTGCAGGGAAATTACATGTTGTATTCTGAATTCAACATTCACCTTATTCTTGGACATCTAGATGAAACTTAGAGGGTTTGAATTTACGCATTTCTTTTTTCTGAGTCCTTGAGCAACTTGATTAATTTATTTTGTGTGTGTGTGGGGGGCAAAATTGAGATAAAATAATATGTACATCTTAGGGTTATACTGAAACATTTAGATAATATAGATTAAATGTCTATAGCTGCATCTGGAATGAGGTGATCGTTCATCACTATTCATTGTATTGGGCATTCCTATTTTGTTGTCTTATGATTTCCTACTTGAGAAGTGCACATCTCAAGATTTTTAATGTGGCATTCATGCTTATATTTCCTTCCTTGTCGATACTAAGTTCTTATATAAAACCATTCTTTATTGTTCTCTTTTCTTTACTCCCCTTTTCAGTTTATCACCAGGTCTTGCCATTTCTGCTGTCTTTTTAATTTGTTCCTTATATTCTCTCACTCACAACATTACGTTTACTTTTGGTGTCTTTATCTCAAAGCTGAAATATTGCAAAAGCATGCCAACTATGATTAACTATGATCTTTGCTTTTCCCATTCAGTCTTTTAAACTCAATGCAATCAGAATCATTTTTCTAAAGCCCAGATGTGGTTAATTCTTCCCTATGTGTTGTGGAAAATATTTTTGAGCTGTATTAACTGACATTCATCCCATACTATGTATTTCCTTGAAACTCTTGATCTATCTCTCAGTTAAATGGAATTTAATTCATTTTGGCTTTAGGTAAGAATTGAGAAGAGGAGAAAAATAAATACATTCATGGGTTTTGAGTTTCAAATACGTCAAGCATTTAGATTAATGAAATATTTTCAGACAATAAATTTGGAGTAATAAGAACAAAGTTTCTCATCCTTAGAGAATTTATAAAATTTCTTTATCAGGAGATAAGTTAGGGGATAGGTTAGAGGATTTAGTGGTTCTGAATAAGATCTCTATGTTTGGGAACCTTTGCTACCTTCCACTGATATGGAGCCAGAATAGCAGACAGGTAGAAACATAAGATAGATTTCTGCAGTTTCCTCTCCTTGTAGAGATCTAAGGAGAACAATAATAAATAAGTTGCTCCTTGGACATAGGCCAAACAAGCCTTAGAAAGTCACATAGTTTTCCCATTCTAAAGAATTGGTATGGCCCGGCCAGGCGTGGCTCAGCGGTTGAGCATTCACCTAGGATCCAGGAGATTGGGGTTCGATTCCTGGTCAGGGCACATGCCCGGGTTGCGGGCTGCAGCCGATGAATGACTCTCTCATCATTGATGTTTCTATCTCTCTCTCCCTCTCCCTTCCTCTCTCTGAAATCAATAAAGATATATTAAAAAAAAAAAAAGAAGAATTGGTATAGAATTAGCAGAAGGGTATCCTCAGGTCTAGTGTGACATGAAACTAAAGAAAACCCATAGGTACTTGACAAATTTTCTTGTACTGCAATTTGCCACAGGACTAGAAGTGTCTTATACCTTATACAGAGAACTACTAGACCTTATGTGTAATATGGGCAAGGGAAACAAAAGATCCACAGCAGTGATGCACAGGAATAGATGTTTGAGGACCAGAAGAGATGATGACATCTTTACTTCTTTTTTCAAAAAAATGTTTTTATTGATTTCAGAGAGAGGAAGGGAGAGGGAGAGAGAGATAGAAACATCAATGATGAGAGAGAATCATCGATTGGCTGCCTCCTGCACACCCCCGACTGGGAATTGAGCCTGAAACCCAGATATGTGCCCTGACCGGGAATTTAACTTTGATTTCTTTGTTCGTGGGCCCACGCTCAACCACTGAGCCACATTGGCAGGGCACATCTTTACTTCTTAACACACTGGAACAACGTAAATGTTCCAGAATTAAGATGAACCTGGGTAGTGGGAGGCAGCACAGATATATGGACATGATTCACTAGAATGAGGTGGTGGAGTTGGGTAGAGAGGGAAGACACTGATATAAATAAATAAGTAAGTAAATAAATAAATAAAATTTTTTTCAGAGTGTAAATGGAGTTTTATAAATTAAACATTAATTTTAATTGTTTCCATCACTCTTATTTTGCTCTCATTATAAAATTTAACCTTCTTAGTTAACACATGGAGATCTTTCTAGTATTGCCAGTATCAGTTTAAACAATTTACCTCATTTCTTTTTCTGTCCTACCAGGGTGCTTTCACTGGCTGCTCGCAGGAGAGAGCCTGCCATGGTGATTAAGGGGCAGGCTACAGGGTCAGGCTGCTGGCATCATCCCCATTCGATTTGCTTCACTAGACTTATCTACTAGCAGTTCCCATTAAAAGCGATGCTTAAAATTACCTGCAGAAATTCTCATATGCTTGTCTTTTTGTCCTTAATGATCTCTACACTTGCAGTCTCTAACCTCCCTACCCCCCCCCTTTCTTTGAGAGAAGAGAGAGAGAGAGAAACATTGATGTGATCGAGACACATCTATTGGTTGCTTCCTGCATGTGACTCCACCGGGCCGGGGATGAAGCCTGCAACCAAGATACTTGCCCTTGGCCAGAATCCAGTCTGGGACCCTTCAGTCCACAGGCCGAAGTTCTAACCACTGAGCAAAACCTGCTAGAGCTCCCTATCCCTTTTTAAAGTTTTGGTTTAGGTATGAATTCCTCCAGGAGTCTATCTATAACTTTTTAAGATAGAGGTAGCTTTTCCTCTTACTATTCCCATTGTAGCCTCTGATTATTTTTATTATTGCTCTTGTGACTACATTGTCAAGCAGCGTTGACAAATTTTATTTTGACATTATTATGTCCAAAACAGCAAGCTTATCTCCAGGGGTGTAGTGTGTTCCTTAAACATTTGTGGAAATAAAGAATGACTATCACATTTACCTTATTTCTTTAAAATGTGTTTTAAAGGTATTTGCTTTGAAATGATTCAGCAAGTCTTTAAAATGACCTTTAGAGAATGTTTATTTAAATTTTTATTTAAGCTGATTGGTAAAAATGGACTGGTTTTTAAAAGACTGCCTTTAATATTACGTAGGCACTACTGACTATTGCTTTCATGTGGACTGATGCCTAGTGAGAGAAAGTATACTCCCTGTGTTTTTTACACAGTCTCTGGAATAGGCTGGGGTGTTCTCATTTCCCTTTTGGGTTCAGTTACCTCCATAATATTTAGTCCATGGAATTACTGTGACTGTTGATTGCGATACTTCACGCGGAGTGCCTGACAGAGAGTAAGTTAAAGCCGTTGCCGCTCCTTTCTCTCCTTTCTCCTCCTCTCCCCTCTCTCTAACTTGCTGTGATACTCATGCTAAGGCATGAGGGCACTAATCAGCGATCACTACAGCTACTGTATTTTCTTTCCTGCATTCTTAATAAAGCTTGTGAATT